CAGTGATGTGTTATGGCCCCGAATATTACGAAGAAAACTATTATGCTGAGATTACTGACATTGGTAACATGCTTTATGTTATCTTTTCATGTTCTTATAATTGATGTGCTTATCAGATGAAATTCCATATAGTAATGTTAAGCAAATGCACAGCAAATATCTGATCAGATCATTTTAGTTAGACACATGGTTCCATTACTAGAGCTCTATAGAATGACATTCAATGCAGCATGAGGAGTGAACAATGCTATGGAATCTATTATGCTACTTAAAAGAGCTGCTGAAACACATAAAAGTGTATTAAAGGATCTCTTTGCATATAGAATAAATATTTCCTGGGAAGAAGTGAAGAGAGGAGAGAGAGAACATGTACATAATGGCAGAGATGAACTGTTTTACCAACTAGTGAAAAGAACTATGACATTCCAAAAGGACCACACTATAATATATTAAAAAAATCTGGAACTAGGAATACATTTTCCTCAAAAGATTTTGGTGGTGCTGTTAGGGAACTCTTTCAATGAAACTGAAACACAGTTAATGTAAAGCACTTATGAAATCCTCAGTTTGTAAAAAGAACAAGACATTTGGCTTGATTCTTAATTATGACTTGTTCATTTTATAACCTTTTATTATGCAAAAAAATAGATACTAATAGAAGTGAAAATGACCCACACAAACAGCTGGTTGCTGGAAAGCATGATCCTCCCTTATATGCCACCATTACTCCAATGCCACCACTGCAAATATGAGTCACTTCTGTTCTGTGTTCCCAGCTTTCTGTCTTAAATTCACATTAATTTTCTTTGTCTCCAACTCTGGGCAACCTAATCTGGATAGTATTTTTAAAAAATAATCAATTGCATGCAGCATGAGCTAGGCGGGGGGAAATGTCATGCAACAGCCCTAGCTGATTTCCCAACTCCACATCACCCCCTTTCAAACTTGCTTCACAGGGAGGATACAAATGGTTGGGTGTGGGTTTGTATGAAGCATGTATTTGAAGTCTGCAGTCTTACACATACTTTCGTGAGGAAGGCCCACTGAACACAGTGGACTTTATTTCTGAGTACACATGTACAGGTTTGCCATTTTAGTCTTATGAAATAACACTCAATTCACTTCCAATACCCGCTGTATCCTTCACAATTTGTCCTTCCTTTTCTAGCATGGACATTCCTTATTGTAATTATTAATGCACCATTTTTCTCAGCGTGTTTCTTTATCTATTCTAGTTTTTGTATCTGTCTTTTGGTGTTTTATTTACTAAAGATATCCTTAGCAAATAAGGCTGGTGGACTTATAGCCGCAAGCCTTAATCAGGAAAATGTGTCAGCTGAGTGATGGAGAAATCCTTCCAGCTGATGGTCACTCTCACTGTTTGTTGCATGCAGAATACATGTTGTGAATATACTGCGTGATAATGATCAATTTGGAGGGCAATTTAGGCTTTCAGAATATGTCTTGCCTTTGGACACAACGATTTATGCCCTATCTGATCTGGTTTATGCCCCAAATTCAAATTCAAATAGTAAACAATTGCTGGCTTTATTGACTTGAAATAGAAAGCAAAAGTACTACAACATTTTTGTTTTTTCACTGATGTAAGAAAAATATGGAGACATTATAGAACCTAAGGGCATGATTTAACTGCCAGATTTCAGAGAGCTAGCTTTAGGCATTGAACAATAAGTGCCTTTTAAGTTTGATTTTGGGGGGGGGGGGAATTAAGGCATATACACTCAGCTGAGTGTTCATTCTTGCCACTTATGCTACTTTTGCTCTCTCGCTACCCACTCATATTGGCAGCACTTCCCTACAGACCTTAAAAATACCCAAGAACTACTTCAAGAAAGAGCAGGCTTAGAAATGAAAAATGTTACTACATAAAACACACAAAGAGCTACTCAAAATAATAATATTTCACCATTTAAATAAATAAATTAGAGAAAGGAAGGATCAGGCAAAAGCCTACTGGAGCCACATTAACAAGACAAAAGGCAGGGAGATGACTGAGATCAAGATCAAGCTATGATCAACACAACTACCACCCTTCTCAAAAGTCTTTTGTTCGGAGTGCTGCTCAGCCTGCTAAACCTAGCAAAATGAGGATGAAGAGCTGTCTGAGATAACTGAACACAGTGACCTCATACAACCCCTCCTGCAAGCAGTGTTATTGGAGAGTGGAGATGATATCCTTGCCTCAGAATGCATGCAAGAACCCATCAGTGAACAAAGCCAGCTCCGTTCTCAACTGTACCACCTTGGTAAAGAAACATTTTCTGGGGTTTTTTTCTGCCCCATAACTCCAATCCTTTTCCTTTCAAGTACTGCCATTGTCATTCCACTTTGATCCAGACCTCATACAAATCAACCTGATTCAGTTCAGAATGTATGCGTTAGACAAAGCTTTAGTTCTGAATGTCTGCTAACGCTGCCAGAAAGTAACTTTCTGGCAAAGGAAAAAACACACTTTTCACCTTCATACATTCGTGTGGGCAGAAACATGACCAGTCCCTCAGTCATTGGTGAAGAACTAACTGCTTACAGGCCCTTGGGTCGTATCTCTGGCAATGGCGCTACTCCTGGGCTCCATTCTGGGATTCAGCACCAGCATAAACTGGGACGGTTTCAATATTGAGCCTGGTACTGACAGGGACTTTGTGGTCAAACCTTTAAAAAATTAAGTCAAAAAGGATGTCTACATATCAAATGGGAATCAAGTTGAAGTGCAAGAAAGGAGAGAATATGAAGCCCTACCTACCTTACAGGCACCTTGCAAACATCTGAATGTGATGTTAGGCGCCTGAGAGAAAGGCCTAAATCGGGCAGTACAGTACTGAGGCTTAGCTGGGTCAAACGCCACCTGTCCTGTTCCTGCCCCAGTGCCAGCTGAGGGCCTTCTTTCCACTCTTCGGTGGAACTTGGGAACTCTGGAGGCCTTGGGACCATTTCTGGAGATCTTGGTGGTTTAGACATCTGATTACGGAGCCTCAGGTTGGGAGTCTGATTCCCGACTGTGCCTTCTTGACAGTGGCTGAATTCGATGATCCATAGGGTCCCTTCCAGCTCTGCAGCTCTAAAACTACTTCTAAGATAGTTCACTTTCAGTGAGACAGATAGGTGGACCAGGACACAGACAGGTAACATCTACAGTTATAGTTACCTATTCAGTCTTCAAGAGGGTGTAGTCTCAAGCAAAGCCACTGTTATCGACATATTCTGTTCTCTCTAAACCCATTCACCCTTGAAGTATTTTGGAGGACTAATGTAGCCCATACCCTCTCAACCAAAGTGCCCCTCTCCCCACAAACATCATAGGGATCTGGTATCCTCTGAATTTTGTGGAGAAAATTCAACAGCTTCTTTCCACTAGGCTTATGCTGTCAGCTATCAAGGGGGAAATGGTCAAGGAATGAACCACCAAGCAATGTGCACGCATTCCGTATGAGTTGTCTTTCATACCTTTTCTAAACCAGTTTGATACTGCATTCCAGTCTGTGTGGGGCTATAAATTTAATATACTGTATTTTTTCCGTGTATAAGACTATACTTTTGTCTAAAATATTTAGAATAAAAATTGAGGGTCATCTTATACATGGAAATAAGCTGAGGAGAGAACAAAAACAAGCGGAAGGGAAAGCAGGGATCAAAGTGATCCTGCAGGGCTTTGAACCCTTTCCCCCTACACTTGCTAAGTCCCACTTAGATTTCTTACTTTTGGATTAGAAAAGTGGGGGGCATCTTATACATGGAAAAATACGGTACGCATTTGAAAGTGGCAGTGAATCTAGTGTCAGCTGACAGCTGAAAGAAAACAGCAATAGAAAACAGTTTCTGATTTTGGCCATGAGCAACACCCCCCTCCACTCAACTACAGTATAGTAAATGGCAATTCTGTACTGTAAAAAACAGTGTGACATAGAAGCAATAGTCCATCAATTACTCCCAAAGGATTTGTTTAAGGGCAAGAAATGTGATGGGTAGAGCTTAGGTGGCTCAATTACTTAGGGACTCAATTACTTAAAACAAAGAAACTGAATTTTAAAAAATGACAAAAATTCAAAATTATTTCTCTGCTAGAGGTCGCACATAACAACCTTGCCATCCATAAATCTGGAAGTCTCTAAGGCACAATATCTCTCTGCTAGAGAGATGACAATTAATTGGTATTTTACTTACTTCATCCATACAGATTATGCAGGAGAATTCTAATCACCATGTGCTACACATATGTAAGGTCAGGGTGGGCCAGACTTTGACAGTGGCATAAAATGGATGTTGCTTATCCTCCTTATTAAAGGGAGGGAGGGGTGCGCTATTCAGGGATTTGTTATAACAGAGACCAAGGGCCTGCAAAGAGCTTTTCCAGGACCAATAGGATTATGGCACATCACAAAAATTGTATGTTGTTACAACAAAGGTGTACATACTCTGGATCCTAGATTTGTAACAAAAAGCAAAATGAAACAGATCAAAGGAGATTTGGGAGAAAGATCAAATCAGATCTGGAGAAAAGACTAATCTGCGAGAAATGAAGAAACCATTTTCATTGACTACCATGGCATCATGAATATTGAAGAAGATATGGTAAGAATATATTCATAGTTCGGTAGGCAGAAATATGTCTTTATTCCAAGCAAAAACTTCTCCCATACTTTACCCTCCCAAATGTGTGTTGTTCTGCAAGTAAAAAAAAAAAACTGAAACAAGACAACATACAGCATACGGTAGTAAAAACCTGGCTTCGCAAAGCTTCTTTTTTGAATTTTAGAAAAGTCATACTTTGTGCATAATAAGAGGTTTTCTATGCAAAGTACAAATGTCTGCAGACAAACCTCTGTGAATTTTTTGCAAAGAAGTTCCAAAATGAGGGAAAACCATTAAACCCCCCATAATGTGTCCCAGTGAGGAGGAAAAAAATGATTTTGATTTTTGTTTCCCCCCACCCATGAAATAATGAAATTAGCAAACATTTACTTCCCTAGGGAGGGACTTACCTAGCAATCCAGGATTAGGAAATCTCCAGGAATCATTGTATGTTGAATACTGCGGGTGGCTGTATGGACTGCCAGAAAATTCACTCCCTGGATTAAACATAAAGGGAAATACAAGAAAATTCAACATTACATCATCGAGACCAAAGTAAAAACCTGACTGCTGAAAACAAGCTGCCATCTAGTCAGCGGCCTGAAAACAGTCAATGAAATGTGAAGGCCTTCTTGCTTATGATCCTGCCTATGACGCGCTCTGACCCTAGGATTTAGGCCTGTGTTTTCAGATCCAAATTGTAGATAATATTTCCATTTGTTACTTTCATTAAAGTAACAACGCATAAACTGGGCTGAAATTAACTTTGATTTCTTTGTGTATAAATAGTGGATGTGATTTTGACATCAGATAACAATTTTACAATCAAATTCTTGACAGCTACACACCTGCTATTGTAAAATACTGTATGCATTCCCAAGTATTTTATTTATTTAACTTATATGCTGTGCCAAAAGATTACTCTGCTCAGCAGATGTTCCACACACTTGCCCCAATCCAACAAAGCAGATGTGCACATGGGAGCAGTTTATAATGTGCATAGCAGCAAAGGCTATAGGTACATATATGAACACCATTCCCATTGCCATGGGAATGCCCATAAAGGTTCTCTGAATGGCTGGCTATATCCTTTGATACACAGTCCATCTAGGGTCCCCACCTCAGTGTCCACTTTGCAGTGTATAATCAGTATCAGCAGCAGCAGCATCTTAGAACTGCAGAGCTGGAAGGGACCCTATTGATGACCAGTCCAGCCCCTGTCATGGATATACAGTGGGGAATAGAACTCCCAACCTCTGGGTCTGTAGCCAGATCCTTAAACCACTAAGCTATGCAGTTATGATACATACTCCACAGCCAATTCATCTTCCTTCCTAATATGGATATCATCCTCTTACTGTCTGTAATTCTGTTGCTAATCATAGTAAATTACAACTAGATTAGACCTATCAAATCAGTAGAACTTGCAGAAGAATTCAGCCCCCAAATTCCCACTATACAATGGGCCTACTCTAATTGCAACTTCATACACTATGCTACAGGACTTCTGGCACTGCCTGTTATATATGTGCATCTATATCTCTTAGAAAAGAGAGAGCAGTTTGGATAAATACAGATATAAATGTAGATACCCTTACTTTTATTTACTTGTTTAAAATATTTGCCATATTTTTCCGTGTATAAGATGAGACTTTTTACTTAAATAATTGGACCAAAAATTGAGGGTTGTCTTATACAGGGCAGGCAGCCGCTTCCCATACTTAAATAATTGGACCAAAAATTGAGGGTTGTCTTATACAGGGCAGGCAGCCGCTTTCCATGCCTTTTGCGAAGCTACAGAGTAAAGCAGCCATGAAAGGGCAGCACACTCGCACCCCTTTGATCCTGAAGCAGCCATGAAAGTGCATCAGAATCAAAGGAGCGTACGCGCACTGCCCTTTCATGGATGCATTAGCCATTTCCTAAACTCCGCGGGCCTTAGAAAGCAGGAAAGGCAGCTGGGAAAGGGTGTGAGGATCAAAGGGGCGCATGCGTGCTCTGCCCTCAAGTTTTCTAATTTGGGTGTTAGAAAAGGGGGGGTATCTCATACTGTGGGTCGTCTTGTAAACAGAAAAATACGGTGACTGGGATCAATCTGATGCTCTTCAGCTGTTATCTGAATGGGTCCCTATTGGCCCTATCTGATTCAGGATTTAGCTAAGTTGGTTATATGCCTGCAGTGACCAGTGTTGTTTTGGATGATCTTGGACCCCAAGATTTCATTCAAATCCAAATTCAATGCTTCACAAAATATTCTGCTTTGCCTCAGTCTCATTTAGAGTGACATCCTGAGACTTACATATCCAAAATTTTGTATCCCTCCCCTCTGTTGACTGCCATTGGAAATCCTAAAATGGCTTTCATTTATTCCTCTCTTTGTCAAAACCTGATGAGGTTTGCAGGTATACTGGTCTCTCAGAAGACAACAAAGCATGCAAAGTGAAAACAAAGAGGCATGCACTTGTATATGAACACATGCTACGCTCCTTTGAAATCTGTTTTATCTAAACAAAATAAGGAAATGGCCAATATTTTTTTCCAGAGAGAGAATAGGAAGAAATTTGTAGGCACAGTATAGTTATCAATTTCTAGGGAAACAAAGCTGCAAAAACTCAGGTGGCACAGTGAATAAGCAAAGTGTGTCTATTTGGAGGGGTGATTTTGGGTTTTTTATGATTGAACTTAACCTTGGGTTTACTGTGAAATATTATTCTGATAGTGAAAGACAGGCTGGAGGTTATGGCTGTCCTTCATTCTCAGAACAATAAAAAAATTGTATCAAATGCTTGTTGGACAAACACAAAAATAACACTAAATATTTCCTCATGCCAGGTAGTTCTGGTCCCTCAGTGAATGCTGAGCTTTGCCATGTCAGGATCATATCAGTACCAATAGGCCAATGTGCTCATAGCTTTTATCCATAGACTGCTGTGAGAGTCATCTCAATAAATAATTGTTTACTGAAGAGTCAAGCATATGCTGAGACAAATGCAACTGCATGCACAGACAACAGACATTGCAGAGTGCCCTAAGTAATGAATGTGTACAGTTTTATAAGAATAGATACATTAATTTATGTGGGACAGATGTTGTTTGATGAGGAGACCAAGTTGATTTCCCATTAGCACCTGGCTTTTTAGACAATTTAAGTGAAAACATAAGACACCATACAGCTGTCCCTAGGCAAAGAAAAAAAAGATGTTTCAGATGAGTAAAGGTGCTAAGGTGTGGTGCTCATCCCCGTTTCCAAGCCATAGAGCCAGCATTTTGTCTGAAGACAATCTTCCGTGGTCACATGGCCAGTGCGACTTAGACACGGAACGCTGTTACCTTCCCACCAAGGTGGTCCCTATTTATCTACTCTCATTTGCATGCTTTCGAACCGCTAGGTTGGCGGGCGCTGGGACAAGTGACGGGCGCTCACTCCGTCACGTGGATTCGAACTTAAGACTGCTTGGTCTTCTGACCCTGCAGCACAGGCTTCTGCGGTTTAGCCCGCAGCGCCACCACATCCCTATGTAACCAGAACAGTTAGCAATTTGGCTAAACCATTTTAGACATGCTGGAACTGAGTAGTCATGTGCTATCATGTGTGTCCCACCAAGCTTTAACTCGTAGTGTAGTCTCATAACTCATCATAGTGGATGTTATGTACATGCTCTAAATTCCTTTAATCTCATCCTTTCTTAAAGCCATATAGCTTTATTACTATTCAGTATGACGACGGTATAAGAAAAGAAACCAAAGCAGGCCCTATATGGATTTACAATGCTCTGACTGTAAACGTTTTCCTACAGTAAGGACATGACACATAAAACATAAACACAGTGAATCTTGACAAATACAGCATACTAGACCCCTGCCAATTGAGAAGTGTAGAAACTAACAGTAAGGTGATCAGTTTTAGAGGTGCCTTCAAGGCATCCTTTAAAAATGTGGTAAGATGTACTGTTAACACACAGTCCTGCTTGGAGAAGGAAGGGTGAGGACCCAACATGACACTAAGAAACAAAGCAGTTACTGGAATGGACTTATATTTCACCATGTGTAACTGCATTGATGGAAAAAGATTTCCTTATTTCTTCTTCCCCAGAGAAGGCCCTCCAGACCCCTGAAAAATGCTTCACCATATTTTGGGGGACTGTGCTGAAAGTTAGTTTTGGGGATTATGCTGAAAGTGCAGTGAGCTTTGGAACCGAGGAGTCCCCAAACAGGGTCAGGTTGCCTTCTAAAAATGAAGCCTTTTCATCCATGGAAGGTAGATCCTGGACCCAATGCAAATGTTAACTAACACTAATGCAGTTACAGAATCTGATTTTATTGAACATGCACTTTTAATTCTGACAGAGTCAAGGAATTTACCATATTCTATGCTGAAATCAGATTGATATATTGCACTATTTCTTCTTCAAGGTAGATATATCTATCTGAAGATGGCTCAATTTTGCTCACCCACTGCTGAAAAGAATTTGAACAGGCACTGGCAAAGGCAGCATACTCCCCTCACGTGTCTATATGTTTCTTGCTTGGACACATCCCCACACATCTCTTCCTAAAGTGGAAAATTTGACATGCAGTGTACTGTTCATATAGGGAAACTTCCAGACAAGCAGTATCCAGAGTCTGCATGGAGCTCTGCAGTCCCATGAAAGGACGTTTTATGACTATCAAGAAAATGTGAGCATTATTTCTTACACTTATGTAGGCAACTTAAACGAACAAAACAGAACTGAATATAGACCAGGTTCATTTTAGTCATTCTAACTAGAAACCATTTTGGGGAGAAACTAGGAACTGATAACATCAACCTGAGCTTGTTAGCAGCCATATGTCCCAAATAAAAGGACCCTCACACTGTCATCTAAATCCAGTCATAGCTCCCCATTACCGTAAGCCCAAAGGGACTACACTTACACTTGACCTATCATTCTGATGGTAAGAACCAGAGTGGGTCTAAACTAACTGGTATTTGCAATTAAATTTGGGCCTTTTGTTGTCTCTGTTACAAACAAACAGCATCGTATGGAAAATGGGACCTTTGAATCAGCTCTTTCATTTGAACAAGAAGGCAAGAACTAGACAAAACGTTTAAATAAATTTGCAGTAGGCTTAGGGTTGTCGGATACATGGGTACCAAAAGGAGGACATAGAAAGGCAAAAAAAAGAGGAGGACGCACCATAACCCCCCACTTTCTTCCACCCTCAGCCGCAAACACACAACTTTCCCCACTGTTTTTCAAAGCAAAACAAAACCCTCCGGCAGCACCGGCTGTACAAAAGGCAGGAGCACTTGCTCCCTGGGAGAAACCTCGAGGCAAGGAAGGAGAGTGCAGGGGAAAAGCAACCGGGGGGGGGCGTCCTGTGGAAGCAGTGGTTTTGTGGAGGGCTTAGCCGCCCTAAGACGAACCGTCAGGGAAAGCGGGAAAGCCCAGGGAGCAGGTGGGCTTCCCTCTGAGATGCCACCAAGCAGGGTTTTTCATCTGTGCTCCTCCCGCGG